GATATCATGTTGAATGTTGCGTCCAGTGGTATAGCTTCTTTGTTGTTGCCCGGTGGAAGAACAACGCATTCTAGACTCTCTATTCCATTTAATCTACACGAAAATCGACTTTCAATATTAACTGTGGAACGCCTCTTGCTGAGCTTATAATTAAAGCGAAGTTAATTATTTGGGATGAGGCTCCAATGATGCACATATATTGTTTTGAGGCTTTGGATCGAAGTTTGAAAGATATAATGAAGAATGTTGATCCCCGTAGAAAAAGCTGCCTTTGGGGGGAAAGACTGTTGTGTTTGGTGGAGATTTTCGTCAAATCTTACCAGTTGTTCCGAAAGGAAGACGACAAGATATTGTCCATGCAACTATCAATTCGTCTGAGTTGTGGAGACATTGCACTGTTCTTAAATTGACGAAGAACATGCGCTTGCAAAATCTGAAGCCTGGTGAAAATTCCAGTGATTTGGAAAAGTGCAGATTGGATTGCAAAGATTGGAGATGGAAATTATGGGGAAGATGAAGATGGTTATGCAAATATTGATATTCCTGATGAGTTTTTGGTGAAGGAGTTTGACGATCCGATCGCAGCAGTTGTTGACGTTGTTTTTCCTACATTTCAAACTAACTCGAATGACCATTCTTATTTCCTGGAAAGAGCTATATTAGCTCCAACTCTGGATGTGGTGAACTCTGTTAATGATTACATGGTTTCATTAAATGCTTCGGAGGCAAAAAGATATTTGAGTTCTGATTCTCCCTGTCATTCTGATAATAATGTAAGTGTGGTTAATGATATCCAGACTCCAAAGTTCCTCAATTCAATTAAGTGCTCTGGCGTTCCAAATCATGAGTTGAATTTAAAATTCAGACAGTTATGGACAGTCATGGACAGTTATATGTTGTTGTTTCTAGAGTAACGAATCCCAAGGGTCTAAAAATTGTTATTTGTGATGGCGATAGTGATAGTGAGCCCGGTTCTTCTACTACTAATGTTGCTGTTTCTAGAGTAACGAATCCCAAGGGTCTAAAAATTATTATTTGTGATGGCGATAGTGATAGTGAGCCCGGTTCTTCTACTACTAATGTTGTATTTAAGGAAGTATTTCAGAATATGTAATAAAATAAATTATTTTTTTTTTATTTTATATTGCTA